CTATGTGTGGCGGCAAGTTAAAAATTGAACCAGAATGGAGCGAAGCGTCGGTAGTCGAAGATTTAAATTTAAAAATTGGCCGAAGACCACCTATGTCACTTATAAAGTTTGCTAAAGAAAAGACATCCTTTAGCAATCGTCTGATCAAGGCACAGCTCGTTTCTATTTCGGATATTGATAAGTTGGACTACAGGCGGACTCGAGTCTTTAAACGTGGTTTGAACTGTTTAACTTTACAATGTTGTCTCATTTTTGCATTTGCACCACAACTCTTTACAAATTCTCTTCATTAAATTAAGATTCCATCCAACAATGACATATGTCAAGTAAGAGTAAATTTACGGGTAAATATTTGATCATTCTAACAGAAGAATCCTATTCATATCAAATCAAATGAAGTTGTCACTGCATGTGGCTGAAATGCAAAGGGCAGAACTATCACATCAAAATTAGAATGCAAAATTTTGTGGAAACAGAGTAAATGTGCTCAAATTAACTTCGAAAGGGTTGGTAAGTCACACATCTTGGACTATACACACAGTCACGTTCTAAAGACGATATGTGGAACTTAATTATTATCACGGTAATTTGTATTGTTAAGGGCAATGTAACAGACATAAAAAGGCTCTTGCAAAACGACGTCATGCGAAAGTGGCAACGAGTAGATGCAATCGTGTCATTTTGGAGGACATTTGGTACACAAATGCATGTTATGCAGGATTTATGATAAAAATTATCCCCCTATTTATAGAAATGCCAAGGAACTTTTAAAGGTGTGTTAATTACGAATAATTTATTATGCCTTTAATTAGGGCTTTATCGTATGTTGTATAAAGTAAGTAGCATTTTCGACTTGACACCATGCGTGGTTTTTAGCTTTTGCATGAGCTGGTCTTTTGGATGTCGATCGTATCATATGGTGACTCACATATCAAAACTTTGCAGACACCTATTTCCTTTGCAAGGGTAAAGATTCTATTCAAATGGTTTAAATAGAACATTTTAATTCAATGTGAATGTTTTAGACAAAATGCTGGGTTTTCCATACTATTTTTATGTGTGCTTGTGAACATACCTGGGAGTGAGAGTAATTGGTTTTAATTTGCTAGTACATAAGTTTTGAAGATATTTGCCTCAAGATAACGAATAACGGGCAGGATAATATATATCAAGAAAGTTAAACACTAAAAACGATGTTGATTTTGAGTACGCAGTCAAAATTTAACCTAAATTAAACTTAATCGAGCGACAGAACTGACATATTTATGTGTTTTTTTTAACACAATTGAATCACCGGAAATAAAGAATTTAACTCAGACTTACCACAACTCCACAATGATTTAAGTCTTTTTGTGGTTTTGTCGTACAATTAAGTGATTTCCCATAACACAAAGTTTCATCCCGATTGAATTCGAAAGCAGATGGGGACATACGACTCCATAATTGATATTCGAAATCGCTGTTCGTGCATTGCTGTTCTAACTTTATCTAGTATTATGCAGTTTTAGACACCTGGCGAAAACAATTCCATGTTATTACCAAGCTTCCATATTAGGCATATTTTCGCAGCTATGAAACCTGAACACTCAACTACCAATAGTGTACGTAATGCAGCATAAATATTTTGTACCACCCAATAGAAGACCCCTAAATAATATTTATGCCGAAAGCGAACTAAAGTGGTAAGCACCACATAGTGGTCTCAGACAGTTTCGTTTCTTTCTCGCCGAACCCCACCCATGACACTTAATGGCGGGATTGCTTTAAAATTTACACTCTCTTCTAATTTAACGTCTAGCCTACATTAGACCCGTCCAAAATCCGTCTAATATGGTAAGCACAGAACTAAAATATACACAAATGTTTTAAATATGGAAAAGTCGGTATCCTCTAATAGCTTAAGTCAAACCAGTGAGCACCTAACTGAATACCATTTAGCTAATCTTGCATAAATCTTGAAGGAAAACATAATAAGAGGTTCAGTACATCCGAATTCCAACTTGCTTAGATTGACCAAATAAAATTTGTGACCTGAATTAGTCAATCTACAAATTTCACAGGTGGTGTAGGGTCATTTTATTAAATCTACGAGCCCAACATTTTGGGTTTTTGTCGACAATGCACAGAGGGTTTCTTTAGTAACTGGAAATTCTCCAAAATCAAAAGGGCTACACAATGAAAGTCTTCCTTCACTGGTCTAATTTTGTGAGCTATCGGTTCACTTTCTATACTTTTGATTGCCGCATTCTTTAAGCTTTTTACTTCGAATGAGAATTTTGATCAAAAAAATCATAGACTGAGCGTCTTTCAACTATTTTAAATTTATCAAACATCTTGGGTTTCTTTGTTTAAACCTCATTTTGACACATTAATGTTAATTAAGTTATGATTCAGATGTGAATACTAGACCCGAGGACTGATTTTGTCTTGCATTTTGAGTGCGCCAAGCATGGAAAGGTAAGTTTGTCATAAAACAAATGCTGATTTGACTGGTGATGAGGCCATTTTTTGTACAGAAAATTCTTTTTAAAAAAAGCAATGACGACAATGACGGCAGACTAAACAGTGCTTTTAAATTTACTGTACAACAACAGTGGAAAAACCGTCATTTCAAAATTAGTTCTGTATATTTCCTTCTGGTGAAGCTGTTTAAGAAATGACCAGATGATACTTACTGTTCCCTTTCGTAAAAGTCTAATCTAGGCTCAAGGACCGCTAACCACCAACTGTGATAAAAAATGAAAAGCAAATAGTCTGTTTTAAAGCTCAAAAGCTCCAAAGTTTACAAATAATACAAGATAATTGAAATTTACTTTACGCTAGATAACTGTGTCATGTTTGATAGTACAGCTCTTTAAAATCTCGGATTGCAATCGAAAACCTAAGACTGATCCCCAGAGGGCAGTGATTGTTATAAAAGGTGCCAGTGAGACTCTAGTAAGACCTTCTACGACTAACTTACTGCGTTTTCATTCATTCACCAATAAAATTGATGCAAAAATTCAAAAGTATGTATTTGGTTTTAATTAGCATCAATAAACAAATGTTCCCCCACAAAATCTTGGGTGTAAGTCATTGCCTCATACCAAGGGTTGCCTTTCCACTAACTTATCATTACTTAGGGCTTTTTGAGTTCACTGCCTATGAAAATGAATTCACAGAAGACAAGAGTATTAAATGGTAGAATATGAGGCCCTGAAATTTTTTAGTATGACAGCATCCATTGCAAACGAGAGTCCCAAGTTTCTATGAAAGTAGCATTATTTACTTAAGGTTAACAGGCGGTTACCAAAATTACCCCGTGTATCCATTGCAACGTCAGCGGAAATTTCAGTTTCACCCGAACATACTTTGAAATTCCAATCCTAACTTTCTCGGCTTAGTCGTAGAACTTGGTTTTTAGAAAATCCCTTTCTTGCCAGAATTGGTAGTTTTAATAAGAATGTTGACTGATGTGTAGTGACATCAATAAAACTCAATTGAGAAGCCTTCTATTTAAATTGGCACTCGCATACTTGCCTCTTTTTTGTCGTCGGCAGTGTTTTCTAGAGCAGAAAAAATATTCTAGGTTTGTTTGGTGGACCTGGAGTGTCAATTCAGGCATATTCTCGAGGCATTATTAACCCCGCTGTTACTCGGTAGCACCTGCTAACTATTTCACTACCAGGGTCATGTAACTCATAGCATTGAGGACCATTCGTCTGCATTCATATACGATACCAGTCTTTATTCTGACTCCATTTAACGCTATTTATTTGGGTACTCTGAATGAACGCTCCGTTTGAGAGCCAATTTATTTTGTTAATTAAAACTGATGCACGCTGTGATTCTGGAATTGGCCACTGAAATACGTTACACCATACAGATTATGTTTAATGAAAAGAAACGATGGGTTACGTTAAATTTTGACTGGTTATGACGTCGAAATTGGTTTAAGTGAGACTTTCTAGAAATAATTTACTGCCTTGCACAAATCAAGGTGTGCAACTTTGGTTAAGGTGCTATAAGTAGTGGTATAAGAATTTTCAATAAATATTGTTTGGGGTACTAACCATGAGGATTTAAAATAATTGCACTTGCGCAATTTATAAACACAGCTTGTTAACATTATTTAGCAGATTCACTTAGTACTATAATTCTGGATAAAAGTTGACAAAAATTAAGTTAATTAATCATCTTGAGGGTAAATTAATCACAGTCAAGTCAAAGCGTCAACGCTCAGCTACGTGCCAGATCCCAGGAAACCCAACTTTGTCCTGTCATTAGTACGACACCCAACCCGTTAAACAGGCTTTCACTCTATTTAGGCCTTTTTTTGTTGAAGTTGATTAAGCCAACTTTAAGTCAGCTGACACTTTTAATGAGTACACTGTATCGTTTCACCCTACGAATTTGAATTTCCAAACTGTAGAAAAGGTATTGGAAACTATTGTTGACTGCATCAGATGTTCTTTACATAAGTAATTCACCCTATTGGCTATTTTGTGCAGAAGCTTGTGAAAAGGTCACAAATCTTCTAACTATCATTAGACTAAATTTATGCATTCCTAACTAACATAGTAGTTAATCTATAACTGTTCTATAAAAAGTTTGTTCCTGGGATGCCTCAATAATTTTGAACTTATCTCATATTTAAGAATATACAAGATAACCTCTTCCTGTGATAAATAATCCGGATAAACATCAAACAAAGTGGCTTCAGTCCATGGTGCTACAATGTCTCGAATAGAACTCCCCAGCCTTTTATTCGTTTTTGCTCCAATTTTAGCCAAGCAACCTTCATAACAATGAATACTAAGCTCTCCCGATTATCATCTAGCTGATAACAATCTTAGAACTTTTGCCCAGCATATTGTCTTCTTTTGTAGTTGAATGCCACAGACAATGATGACGGTGCATTAGGTAAAGTCAGCTACTCAATCATTAGCGGCAACGAAGAAGGTCATTTTGAGTTGGACGAACTGACAGGATGCCTATACATTAGTAAACCTTTCAAAATCATGTCAACCCAGGATCCTAATTCTACAATCGCGCCTTACGAAAGCCGCCTTCGACTGTTATCTCTTAAATCATTCCGCCTTTACCTCCGTGCCTCAGATCAGGGAGTGCCCGCACGCACTACCACAGCTGTTCTCGATATACGGCTCTCTGGTCCATCTGCTCTTCTGCACACCCAAAAGCAGACCACATTTGCGCCAAGAATCGAAAAGCCTGCACTACAAAACACCGCAACCTTTCGAGAACAGAAGCGTTTACTTGGTGGGTCAAACCATTTATCAGAGAGTAGACAGCATGACAATTTCATTTCCACTGAGTCACTCATTATCATTGCTGTGATGGTTGCGGCAGTTGCTGCGCTTCTGTTTATCGTGGTTCTCTTGGCTTCTGCCTGTGTGCGCAAGCGGATTATGGCGAATCAGGCCAGACAACAGTGCTCGGGAGCAAGGAAGCCTACGACTGCCGAATTCGAGCTGCAAATCGCAGGAGAGGAGGTCGGTGCAGGCGGTTCTGTCGGCTCGATGGTGAAGAAAATTTACGAGGTGTCACCTCAGCCACCACCTTTCATTGACTCCACTTCGACGTATGTAACAGTGACAAGAAACACCCTTAGGAGGAATAACAGTAATCAGAGAGAGAACGTCTCTGTTCCAACTGGTGCGTAATTGCCATCTTTAAAGAGGATGTACTTTGCCGTTAAAAAGGCACACAGTAACGGAAACATTCCTAGGCAGTAATTTTAATCAGAATGAGGCCATTTACAGAGAGGCACACTAGGTATATTAAGCTGTCTATTTCAAAAAATCTGGTGCCAAGCTCAGCTGAAGTACCCAAATGCAATGCTAAAACGCTCAAAAGTGCATTCATACTCATATTCATAAAGTTCATATTTTTGTGTGTGATCAAAAATGAATTTAGTTGCCTACAGTTTTGTCATTTTGTAAACAGTATCCTAGAATATTATTGCAGACTCCTTTCCAATCATTCACAGCGATTTAACTGATAATTGAAAAACGTTTTGGAACTGTACATGTAACGCCTTATGAAATGGGTAGACTTGATGACTTGTAAGAGATACTACTTGAATGCGAACTAAGGTAGACGAACACCGCTGCCTAAAAACTTTGCACATGAAGTTCTAGACTATGCTTGTTGAGCACCGAAAATTGTGGAATTTAGAAACCGTGTTGAGGATCTGAGTTGGATCGCTCTTTCCAACTCACACTGCTTCAGAAACGCTGCAAGTAACGCCGGCATTGGCTTTAATTTTATTTAAATACACCTGAAAATAATTAGCTAAGGTACTGATTTATGAGTTCTAACGAGAAATCAAATATTTTACATTTAGTAATATATTGGTAACCATTATGTTGTATTGATCTTTAAGAATCATAATCATCTATGTTATCTCTAAAGAAAATTAGTCAAGTAAAAGTTTGGTTGGCGTTAGTATGCAAAAGTATTCAGTGGATATTGGAAATTATTTTCTGCAAAAATTTAGAGAAGGATACTAAATGCACATCTATCAACACAGTGTTCTCACGAGATAATCCTTTTATCCGAATTACCTTGGTCTCTTATTCAGACCTCATTTTTTATGTCACAGTGACAATTTTTTTTTCGATTTTGCTCCTCATGCGTCACTGAAAACTTAGTCCTGTTGCAGTAGAATTGCCGTTTATCATACTTTCAAGGCAGTTGTGTGCGTGGGTAATGTGAATTGTCGATATTTTCTTAAAGGCTGTTTCCTGTAGTTTTTACTGCCCTTTCACGTTAATTAGTTTATTTAATCATCCCCTTTCGAATATCTAGTGTCAGCGAATTTATTTTAATTAAATGCAACCGCAGTGAATTGGTTGTTTGGCCAGACCACGAGTGAGACAAAACAAGTTCCATTGACCGAATTATTTAGGTTTTAATTTTTTAACGGTATCGTCAGTTTCAATAAAATGCCATGTTTCATTCTTTGAAGGCGGAAGCAGCACATGTTAAAGCAAAACCGCTTAGAACCATTAAAATGCTTTTTATTTCAATGCTTCCATTAAAATCTACAAAGGTTTGATAAGGCAAATTTTTTTTACATGCGTGTGTTACCACACACAGCCTGTGGATTGAAACACTTTCCACTACCCTCCACCCCTCCCACAACCCCTTCATCCCTCGTGCTCGTTCCCACCTCTAATAAAATATGCAGTTGCTTCATACGAATTCGCGGTCGAATATTGTTGTTTTCCACACGTCCACTCGAGCTACACCTTGTTAATTATACAAGCGGACACACCTCGTTTTCGCGGTTTCTGGAAATCACAAAGACAAATCCCATTTTATGTTTACGCTCGCTCCTATTTAACCATCTGGAAGCTAAAGACCGGGTGCCCGTGTGCTTGCCTTTCTTCAAAAACTTGGCAAATCGAGCGAGAACAGCTTATTTAATACGAAATAACGTATTATCCTGTTGGACCAGACAGTAATTAAGTCAATAACACTGAAGGTTAATTTACATTGAAGAATATTTAGGCCTCATGCTTAAACCAATTATGAACAAATTCCCTGCAGATCCAGCTGGCTACGGATGAGTTCAAGTGCGATGCTAAACCAAATTAATCCCTGGCTTTTTGAGAAGTCGCTTAAACAGAAGGAAACTGCGCCAATGTCTGGTGTCGCAAAGGTATTAGTTGTCACTCAAAGATGGTTCCTAGTTATTTATTCCAAATTCAGGCGACACCAAAACACTGGTGTTTTGGAATAAAATCCCTTAGTCATTTGAAAGAAATTTAATCCAATAACAACTTCAAAGTGCAGCGGCTAAAACTTGTATATTATTAATCCTCTAACCTGTTAATAGAGCAAGCTGATTGTCCTTAATAAATTCACGTGTTCTATTCCTGTTGCGTTTTTAAAGTGATACACTTAAACGAAGGTTCTACTTAAAGATCTAGCTGTATTTTTTATTTTGCTATGACAAAGATAACGTCCAAGCAGCCGTTCTTGTACATTGTCGTAGTTGTGTCAATCTAGAAGGGCCTTGCAGAAGTATCCTAAAATGTATTCACTACAAAACAATTGAATTACCGTAAGCCTATGCCTATTGCATCAAGAGAAACTTTATTTTGACATTATAAGCACCAGAGACGCTCATTTTCAAAATTAAAAGAAGTTGATGACTAACTAAAAACGTTTAACTTAATCTACTAGCCTACTGTCAGTTGGGATGATATAAAACCTAACCAATACACATATAAACAAGCAACATTGTCAACTCATTTGTTGGGAGAGAGAGTTATAGGTATTTACTTATTCCAAATCCCTAAAGACGTAACAATTTGGAAAAAAATTAAATTTATGTAAAAATACGTATTAAGCACACCTGGCGAATATTTACTTTGTTCTTCAAAAAATGGTTTTATATTAATAAATCATAGCCTTGATTCGAACATTTAGATAAAATTGATAAATTATTGACTTTGATTTGAATTTTTCTAGGTAAGAGAATAAGTTTTGATTTGTTATGTATTTTGAAATAATAAATGAAATGATTGAATGTGTGACACACCAAAGGCAGTCGTTGTGGTGATTACATCGAATGATTCAACTGAAAAGTGATGAAAAGTATTAACTGAATATGAGAAAAGGTGCCCAAAAATGTGGTTAAGTTTTTAAGACCATAGTCCTTTTCTACTGTTTAGTAATTGCTAATAACTTAGACATAATCAGATTCATTAAAATTCAGTTTAAATTTTAATGGTTGCTTCTGTACTTAACTAATACGCATTTTCTTTTTGAATAACTTTGCTATATCTGGTTTTTTAATCTAATTCATTGCAAAAATGAGTCCTTAAGGGTAATTCAATCTAAAACGCCTATTCCGCGATTACTTCGTTACGTGTATTTCCGTATTTATATTAATAAATGAATTTACCCTTACATCCGAATTTCGTGACCTTTCAGTCTTTGATTTTAGCTGAAAGATTTTGGTTTCAATTCCATGCCGTTGAGACAGTTAAACAAATTCAGTCGTGATTACATGACTCACATCCGGTCTTAACGGCTTTCAGTAAGCCAAATGCTTTCATTTGTTAATAAAAACGAAGAGCATTTCCCAAAAGCTCAGCTAAATGTCGACATACAGTCTCATTAATTTTAATTAATTGATGCAAAAAGACTGCCTTAACTAAAACATTTTCACCTCCATTAGGACATTTCTCAAAAAACCGCTAGTTTGGAGTTACGCAAAAACAGTCAAGAGTAATCACACTGGCTCGTCAAAACTGAAATTTGAGAGTGCGACCACCGATTTTGGTCCTGCAGAGTTCCATACATCGGTAGCAATTGCTTCTGCTGATGCTGCCAGAGAAGGTGAATCGTCACATGACAAACACCAACTTTAAGTGCATGATTAAACATTAAACTGTTCAGTTTTTTTTAATTTAGACTGTTATTAAAATCCAGCCACCAATGTCCTTGGAACTACGAGATTGACCCTTTAGCTAAGGCTGCATTCTAATTTTAAACATACAACAATCGATTCATCTAATGTTCCTGTTTTTTTTATTCACAATATCCCAAAAACACCTAGTGAGTTTGCCAAATTTGACAGATTTCCACTTTGCCATTAGGTTCATGTTAATTAACAGGCTATATTTAAACCTTTTTCACTTAAAATTAACTATTGCAGTTAAGTTAGACGTGCAAATGCAGATTAAAGAACAAAAATGATGGAAAAAAGGCCATGCATTCAGGTCATCCTGTCTAAAAGGTGTTATGCAAGCTACCGACACATACTAGAATGTTACCAAACGGGAAAATCATTAAAAATGAACATCAACAATTGTATTCACCGTCTTTATTTTATTTGTCTTTCGTTTAAGAGGGTGGTTTTTTTTAAATTTCCACTTAGGAAGATACAGACGAGACTAATTAAATCCGGTACTTGTCAATTCATTCACGCGTTTTATGTGTGTACCCTTCAAGTTTTTGTCATGAGAAACCTCTTTTCTTCCAAACTAGGTGGGTATAACGCAATACAAGCAGAGAAATTAACTCATACAGACTTTCTCCATCGTCTTGATGTTCTGTAAATTTAATATTTCATCTATAATGAATTTCTGACTTTCACAAACTTTCATTTGGCCTCAGTTGGAGACAAGTGTTCTCTATCAGGCTCTAGACTTTTAGAAGTTTGAATGCTAACTTTCGTCCATACACTCATTTTTCAGACATTTTGCCAACTTTTTATTGCCTAACTGGTGTCCAAAGACGCAGAGCCTTGCAAAGTTTCTCTGGTTAAATGTACCAGTAGTGATGAAGGATATTTTAGTTCCGTTTTTACTTGGAGTCCTACAATTAAACATTTTTCAATGAAAAAACACTGAAACGATGGTTTTTGCCAACTGTTCTGCACCTTTCCAGAAAAAACAGAACTATAATGCACAAATTGGTATTTAGAAATGTTTACTTAGCGTATAAAAAATAGTCCGATTCCTGTACGAAGTAGGGTCGCAATAAATATGACCACAAATAACCTAGTTAGCTTTTGTTGAGTTCAGTGAAGAGTCGATTTCGGTGCATTACCTAAAAAAACAGGTCTGCGCTATAATAAGATTTATAGTAGAGAAAAAGGGAGCAAGCATTGCTCAAACGCGGTTTTGCCAACGAATTATGTCGAAAACCAAAATTTGCGCCCATGGTTCCGGTAACTATGATCAATAGCCTACTTCGAAGGTATAAGAAAACGTTTATTTGCTACGCTCATGACAATTTAGGAATTTTAAAGACATTTTAAATGCAAGAATTTGAGTTTAGAAAACTTGTTTGTTGTATGCACACGCACCAGGGAAAATATCGAAAGATGGTTAAACCACACATTCTGCTCTGTTAGTGTGCTTGCTTATTAAATGCTTTTTTTGTAATAATAAAGTGCCTCCTAAGGACTGTAAACGATATTTTGATACCTCAGATAGTCTCGTTTACATAAATGAGCTTTAGCAATTTTGCAGAATTTCAAGTGCAAAACCTAAAACAAAGCATTATTGGCTGTGGAATCAGCGCTGAAACTTGGTTCCACACAGTTAGATAAAAATTATTCAGTAGCAATACTGTGTGTCATCACAGATTCTAATTTATTGCAAAAATAACACGAATCAATATTAGTCCATAAAGGAGATCCCACAAGGCAGTTTCAGGCTAGACCAATTATAATTATCCCCGCTTGGACTAGAACAAGGTTAATAAAAACTTGGAAAAATGATAAATCGCACCTTATTACACCTGATAAATTTTCGAGGTGTAATGAGAACACCTGCAAAGTAGCATCTGTTAAGAGCTGAAATTCTTTTAGTAGGAACTTGCTAAGCTTATCAAAGCAATTTTAATCACTTTCTAGAATGTAAAGAACAGAAGTTCACCATCATTAGAAAAAACAGGAAAGGTTCGCAATGAGCAGTTTACATGCAAAACTGAGGTGAAATTTAATAGATTGAAAGTGTCAAACGTAAAAAGACACTTTAGTTAGTAGTATTCAGATGTTCAGTTTGATTTTTAGCTGAAGTACCCAATTTGCTAATTAGGTCATTGTAATGTTTCAAAGAAATTTTCTTTCGATGCCTCTAGAAAAACACTAGCAATTTTCCAGACCATGCACAGTTGTTTGTCGAACGATACTTTGTATTGTAAAGGTAGGTCTTTTGTGCGTTTGCAAATGCTTGTGCATAGCTATCGCCTTTTTCAACTTACTTCGTGAATGCCTTTAAAAACCCCTAATGTGATTTTTACCTGTAATCCAGCCTTTGGATGTGAAATTTTACACGACCCTCTGCTGTTTCATTCATATATATAATGGCTACATTTAGAGATATAAAATATGCGTATTTAGAAGACCAAGGTTCACACATAGACCACTGTTTGGAAGTTACTAAAAGGACTGGGGTGCTTTCGTTAGGATGGTGAGTCAATAGTGAGGCAAGCTGTCCGACGCATTTGCTTGATATATCGAAATAATGACCAACTAATTGACGAATAGTTGCTTTTTTGTCGCTTCTCAAAATGAAGATATGTAGTCGCCACCGGCCATTCTGGCAGTTCACTAAAATTATCGCTAATGTTGCTATAAACACTCGTGGAAACTATGCTTAAAGTGCAGAACATGCATTAGATAAGGAAAGTTAATTGTGCTGGAGTACGGAAATGACAACGAGTGATCATTTCATGAGTGAATATTTAAACTGCATGATAAAGTAGGATCGAAAAATTGGAGGTTTTACATGTGTTAATCTTGTGCTTCGTCATAATAAGTGATGAAGCTGACAAGCATTAATACATTAGAAAGCTATCAGATGTTTGTTTGGCTCCGATTTTCTTACCAGATCGTCGACCCCTAACTATTAAAAAAATCGGCCTTTACTCGTGTGAGGCCCTGGTTCCGTGTCATCGGACGTGATGGGGGCTTTATGTGGGTGAAATTCGATTGAAATCTCAACGCTCCCATATATTAACCAAAATGTGCGCGAAGTTAAAGTAATCAGTCAATTTGTCGTGGAGATAGGTGCTACTGATGACGAAAATGTTGAATTTACCATCCTAGCCTATTCATTTTTTCCGCCTTCATGATTATTTAAATTAATTTGCTGGCCAATCTGATGGTTTATGACAATCTAAACCATTTAGCAGCAATAGGTGCTATTGGACACTGGGACACCCAAATGAAAACAATATATGGTGTTTGTATGCTGTTTAGTATATCGTGTGCATTGGGATGAATTGCCACATGTAAAATAACATTGAGTCAACTTGCACTTTATAACAAGTGTAATTTTATTCGTTACAATGGCAAGTTTATTTTACTACACAAAATAGTTGGTGCGTTTTAGCTAATCGTAATAAAGTTTCGTGCTTTAGAGGATAGGTTCATGGTATTTTTTGTACGAACACATATTGGTGTGAAACCCTTAACTGCATTCACAGCTGCGAAATTGGACGTTGTTATTGACTTGGTGTTGTTTTCATTGGTTCTCAAATGGGCTAATTTTAGGCGAATTGGTGAAGAAAAATATTTGTTTAACCTTTAAATACAATGCGTTGATTAGCCTGCCAATGTGCATTTAATTCCTGCTGTTTAGGTTCTTCTTGGTAAACTGTAGGTTTTTTGAAAATCCAACTTACAGGTAAGCTTTGGTTAAGCAGGTGAGTCAATGGGAATGGAATATCAAATACAGAAGGATAAAATTTGTATCTGAAGTTCGAGAATTTTTTTTATCTCGAATTGCTTGGGAGCTCTGTAAGCATGCACGGTTTGAGTAAACAGTTTTCCTCGGTTTGTCTCCGAAAGGCACAAGTCGTGACTTGGTTGTGAATGGATCCTGACCAGTTCGCAGAATATTCTGACGCTGTTACCTCCTAATGGTCCATCAGTTTAAATCCGGAACACCAGATCAAAACACCTATGCAATACAACTATGGGTGTTCAGGTGTGGTTCCTTTTTAATGTGGATAATCGCCCTCCGCCAATTGTAGTACTGCACAATATGTTTGCTTACTTTACACGCAATGCTTATGGGAAAACACCAACTGTATTTAAGTGGAGAAACAGGTTATATTCGACGTTTTTATGTTTTTCGAGTGGCACTATCGACACTCCTCTCACACACAGCTACACAGGCCTTTTGTCAGTGGGGTCTTTGTCTCTTTGTGTCATAACACGGAACTTAAGACAGCTCTTCACACCAACAATTTTAATATGCGTATTAAGTATCGAATTAAACCCAATTTTGATACAATTAGACATGTTAACAATCAAGCAGTTCCACATTCTTCTGATAAGAATAGCAGACGTCTGTATCTAAGTCATTTTATCTTGACAGTTCTGCGAAATTCTTTTTGTTGAATCTAATGCTTGTGAAGATCCCCAACTAAGACTACCTAAGCGGTGTTCTGTGGTGAATATGGTCAAGCTCGTTACGTTACCTTATACATTTGCGTAAATTCAAATCACAATTTAATTCTTAGGATAAAAAATACGACAGGTTCACAATTCATTTGAAATAAATAAAGTTGAGTAGAAGTACTTTTAAATAAACGTCTACTTTAAACGATAAAACGTATATTCCACTTTCTGGTGTGGGTTGATGATTTTCCGTTTTTTGGTGAAAATACACCTTCGGTACAATGCCAAAAGGTCAAGTTTTAGTTTAACCAAAAGTACCTCAACGTGACAATTAACGCTGTGTAATGCAACACTAAAATGCGCAAATAGGCTATCCCAAATGTGTGGGACAGATATTACCATGGTTCTTTAATGTTCAAGACATGAGAATTGGTCAAAGACAATTGCCTCGTAATTTGATAGAAGTTTTAAACACCTTTATTCATACCTATGGTTCCCGTTTAACAGGCCCAGGAAACAAGATAGTACAAATTTCTTATAGTCTTGAGGTAACACTGATTTAATACAGCAATATTGGTAGAAAAAGTAGCAGTTTAACTGATGACTTTGCTAACTTCTGGATCCCATAAAGCATTTTCTGTTTTACATACACAGGAACTACCTTGATGAGGCTGAGATAAAGACTCCCAGAAATCCTATATCGAAGTATTTTGCAGATTTAACTATAAAAAAATTTAATCCAAGATTTCTAGGTCGAGAAGGCATAAGCTGAAACATTTTGTTAATAAAGTCCGCGTTTTAAAGACCTGTCACTTAGATCGCTATAATAAAATTTTACGGTTGACAACAATTCTCCGAACTAGTTGTCTGCATGTTCTTATTGTACACAAAGCGCTGTATCTTTTAGATTAAATTCTTTTAATTTATACTCGCGTGGAAAAAGCTCCCAAAACCGACGTAAAGTGTAAGGACATCTGGAACTTCTTGTGTGCAACTATAACTTCATACTCCAGTTTGACACCTGATGATTTCCTTTATGTGTAATCAGAGACAAACCAGATCACTAGCCGGCAAAATGCAGTGATATTTGTCTACAAAGACCACTATTAGATCCCTTCTCTTTTATAGATTTAACAACAACTTACACCGTACAGTCACTTGATAACCTGAACTCCATCCAATCGGATGTCATCAGCCCCTATCATTTTGAGAAAGCAGCTGCCAGGCAACCTGGCGGCATCCTAGTTCAGGGTCCTTCAACTAGTCTAATGGAAGTGGATCCACGATTACCACCACCTGGACCTAGAGATGGGCCTGCTGGAGCCACAGAAGCCTCGTTTCTACAGAAACAAAAGGTCTTCTCCACGGAGTCCGTCGGAGGACAACCCACCACAACCCCCTATACGCGGGCCGGCAAAGCGCCAGTAATCTGCAGTTCTGCTGGGACACTCAGCAGCGCGTTATCTTGTAAGACCACTGCCAACTTTTCCCGAGTCGTGTTGTTTTCAACTGCCCTGGTAGCCACTAATTCTATTGGCTCATAAAAAAGCAAGCAGAAATACCTTGCTCCAGACTCCCTGCGACAAAGTAGTTACTCGCAACACGAGTGCCTCGCTAATCGCTTACAATATGCAAAGACGGATAACAAACTAAAATATGCATGTTTCTAAAAGGCCAAATCTTCATAAAGGTCGTAGCTTTGTAGAAAGAGGTATGAGGGGCAGGATAAATCAGAGGCACAATTTACGCCAAACATAATGATATAAATTCAAGTAATTCAAAGCGGCTTAAATGGCTGTGGTAAACACGAAAGGCTTTAAACTCATCAACTTCCATACAATTGATGGAAACAGTGTCAAAAAGACACGTTCGAATTTCGTTCCTGCTAGAATCCTCGCTCTTTTAAAACATTTCATAGAATTGTCATTTAAAACTGTTATTTTTATCTGAAAAAGTTACCAGACCTTTAGTGAATACCACTCACTTGCAGATGCTCTTTAAATTCTCACCGCCGAAATAGGTTCAAGAGCAGCCACTTCCTAACAAGCCTCGATTAGGCTTGGCTTCAAATTATACATCCGTTTGAGTGTCATTCTTTTTAAAATTCCGAGTGTGTAGACGACTCAGGTTTATTCAACTCAAGCGCTGGCTTTTTCCTTAAATTTGCGTGTTTCCGTTAAAACGCCTCTCCCTTCCAAGTTTTTTTCAAAAGGATCACGCTTTTTGGTTTGTGAAAATTTAAGTCCTTAATTATCTGCGACAGATTTAGAGACTTTCACAAAGGGCTCGACAAAGCTACCTTTCACGACAGGTTTTCCCAGTTAGTAAATTTGGTTGTCAAATGAACATTTGGTATAAAATTTTGGATTTTCCTGTGGAGAAATCCCTTTAGCAGACCGGGAGCAAGAAACTCATCAAAGATAATGGCAATCTTGTACTTTTCATGAACCGGTCAACTAACACAATTTAAAAAGACTGCGAACTTGATTAATGTGCGACCGGCTATTATAAGTTTCGTTGCATCAGCGTTTAAAACCAGGAACCGGTAGGTGACTCGACTTGGAAACCGATATGAGTGGATCCCTACAGGCAAAATTGTATAGAACTGGTCTTAAGCATCTTCCCTGAGTGTCAGATCAGCTTTAACACTTGAAATGATAACGATGCTTACAGGTGTATCAATATCCGAAGACAAGATATAGGCCCCTTTAATAGGCCTCGCTAGGACGATGAGAACACATGTCAGCACAAGAATGAGTAGCTACACATTTCCACCAGATTTCTCTTTCATCTGTCAGATCATTGAAACAAAACTTCACCCTCATCTTCGCATAATCACCAATGCATCTCCCCCAAAGTCGCTAGACTTGAAAAGTACTTATCAAAAGTTTAGCAAACTGGCACTAATTTTGTGACTTTACATGGTATATCTTTCAGTTCAAACTCTACCGCGAAACCACCCCAGCGCGGCTTACGTGGCACTTCCTTCAGCATCGGTGGCTTACGCACCGGAGGCCATGAGATCATCAGAAGGCATACTTTTGGGGCCGAGAGGGGTAAATCTAGGTGGGAAATGCCTTGCTGCCAACAAGGATCTGTCTCCTAACACAACACACCCTTGCGTCGGACCGTCATTCCTGATCAAATTAGATAAGCCTGCTGGATTTTTACTCGATCCCGATAGTCCCAAGGCCTACACGCCACTGAACTTCACCATGTCTGGAACCGTGCACCAACCGGCTGACGGCTCATGTTCGCCCAATCAGGAGTCAAGTTTCGTATAACCACAACAGTGTAATTTGGACATATTCTAATCTCGTTGGTTAAAATACATTCCCTATATTACCTCGACTGTCGTGGTGTAAGGACTCATCAGGGACTCTGCCAAATGAATTTGGCTGCCATTACAGGTACTAAACGGCAATGGTTTTACCTCGAGGCTAATCATGAATGGTTAGTGGATGGGCAGGGCCAAACGATGCAGGTATTCACCCGCGTGTGCTTATTTGGTACCAAGGAAAGTCAAGTAACAAAACTAAGTGTCATTTCAAAAAAGTAAACCTATTAGGTTGCTTTTCATTTTAGGCAAATTAATCGAAATAATGCATGGCACCATAGATTTAAACGCACTACAAAATCCCTAGGATAAAACTACTCTTGTAGCACGATATGATTTTTCATCATCAAAAACTGCTTTGCTGATGAAAGTGTAGAAAAATATGAGATAGAACTACCGTAATTCCTGTCTTTAGGAACTGAAATTTTGGGGAAAAAACTTCAGTAAATGGGGCACAGACAATGTACAAACGAACCACTAGCAAACTGTGACTTCAGCATCTGATACCTCGCTAGCAGTATGTTTTGTGCACCTCAGCATCATAAAATAGTCTACGATGTTCTATAACTCATAACGTGAGCCCGGAAAATCAAGCGGGTCGTCGACGCGGTGAACACAAAGAAAGCATGCCAGAAGAACAACATCCTACTTCCCGAGTGACAATTTAGGTAATTTGGGCTCTAAGTGAATGAATCCACACTTTGTACCTTTGTTTCGAACAAAACACTTCATTTAAACACTGAGATCTGGTAAATCTAGTTGGTAAATTTGTCCTCTGCGGTTTAGTTGCATCATGTAATTCGTTAAAATACAAAATTAATTTACGATGTCATGGCATACACCAATACTGGCGACAATGAAAAATCTAGACACTTCCTAATAACATCATTAAAATGAGTAAAATATGATAAACGCGGCCGCTTCCGACTGCAGAAAGCATGACACAGTACTGCCAAACATAAAATACTCACTGACTGTATGGCATGTAAGCACAAGCATAAGGCTGACAAACAAGCATTTTCACAGAAAAGTTATGCATTTGTGCAGCAATACGTTTATTGAAATGCTAATTAATTTTGAGAGGATGTTTCTTGTTGTCTCTGGCGTTGATGATGGAGTTCTAGAATATATTCTTGGGCCGGCTTTTCCCAAGGGAAATTACATACAGAGAGTTCATGGAGATTTTCGATAATCTCTGAGGGACTCATTAAGGTATCCGTCTGCTCGGCACTGTCGTACGGAGACCACATTCCTTGAATAGAGGGTGCTTGGCTGCTTCGAGGCTTATATATGGGCATAATGTTTTCACCTGATCGGGTAACCATGAACTGAACCCAAGAGCTAATCTCCTCGGAGGTCATTTTTGCCATTCGTAGATACTGCCAGTTACCGTTTACTGTAAGGCAAAATCAGAAGAAAACTCAAACTTATAAGTTGTTGATATGTAGAAGATTGGCATCACGGAACTGGACATACACAAGCAGTTTTATTCGTCAAAATTTAAGGATAACATGTTGAGTTGGAGTATATTTTGGCGGGTATTAACTAAAACATAAGAGGCTAATTAGAACAACATGTTTTGGTGGTAGGTGACCAATTTAAGGGCGTAATAAGGATAATTATGTAAATCACATAAGACCAGAGTAGAAGAGTTGACAAGCTAACTATCAAGAAATATCAATAAGGTAAGCTGCAGAGATACACCACGAATAAATTATGCCGGAAAAAATTTGACGTGTGCAGTAGTCCGAAAGAATGTTGTAATGTGACAGAGCAGCGGCTCACAACGGGACCTAGCTCATAATCAGCCTACTGAAAATGAAACCAAGCATACACTTCAGAGCTTACTTAAAATGAAACACCATTCAAATCGACTCTATTGAACAAATAACTGAGGTTAAGACAATGGAATATTCACTGCAGTAACTCAAATCAGGCACAGATGAAACACAAAAAAACAGTGCATAGACAACTTACGATACTCTGCAACAAGAAGGGGTGGTCTATGCCTACGAGGCTTTACGTAAACAACCACAGACGGGTTGAGTTTAGCCAAGTCAATAATCTCTTTTTCAATATATTCTCGCACACCTCTGCTGTCTCCTCGAGATTTGCAAAACTTGAAAGTAAGTCTTTTTAGCTGACACACATATCTACCGATTCCCAGAGAAAGTGGGACTTTGAGGGATGCCCTAGGCAGAACATTCCCGGACATCCTGATGAGTTTATGAGCAGGCTAATTTGATGCGCCTGGGCTAACCTATAAAAACCACTCAGAGTCACTTTGAAGATATTAATGATTCTCAGTCAATACCTCTACAAGAAGCGGATTTTACACGTTAAATATTAACTATTAGAATTATGCCAGAAGTACAACAATCTTGCATACGAAAAGTAAAAAATATTTCAGTAAACCTAAATGAATAAGGAGGAACCAATCCAGCCAATACATATTTACTGCTTTTAATTGGTTTCAAATTGTTAAAGCAGGTATTTCTGATATCCTTATGTAATGTGTCCAGTTATTCTTTACTAATGTGTGTCCAATCAGTCAGCATTGGACATTAGAAAAGAAGTGGCATTGGTAGGTTATGCAAATTAACTTGCTCCCACAAACATTAAAATACTTTGTTTGTTAAACCTTGAAGTTATTTAAAATGCCATTTTTGACTTGACTTCTTAAGCTATAATTCAAGCATCAATTGCATAATCCATCCAGCAGCCCTGTCGAGGTAGACTCAATCACACCGCCTCGATTTGCGATGCTTCCCCATAAGTTTAGCAGAGCCTCATGTTTGCTGGCCGTTATACCTAGCTAGTCATTCAATCACACGTACTGTTATTAGTTCACCCAAACTGTTTTGATAAGCAAATAAATCAGTCATACATGAAAGCAAATAAACACAGACACTACATATTTATGTGATGTTGATGTCAATTGCCAAAAGCCGGACAACAGAGGGTCTGACACATTTCCTGTTAAAAATGTAAATCGTCTTGCTCACAAAAAATGCATATGCACCGTTAAAGAACGTAGGAATCTAGTGTTCATAAATCGTTAAATTAAATACAGTTTGACATTATACGAATGTAACAAATTTTGAATAGTGCAGTCTCGCATTAAAAAAACTGTAAGAATAAACTGAATATGAAATGTCTTTAACATCCGGGTTAATTTCAAATATTTGTAAATGGCAAATAAAGATTATTTAAATCAAAGCATGGATCAATATCGCACTCCTATCAAAATTTTCCGAAATATCATAACATGGTGTTTTGTGCAAAAACTTATTAGTTAAGCTTTAATATAACAGATACAATGCGGATTCTCATTAAGTCAACAGAATATAATATCGCACGTAAATTCTCACTTCAATTTGTTAACTAGTTCTGCACATGCTTCGTTCCGTAAACGCAAAAAATATTAACAGCAAGTTAAGATACATTACTAGTAGTCAATAGTTTCACTTTTATGAATTGATTATTAATTAATAAAAAATTTGTTAAAAGTGCCATGCTTGAGGCGGCACATATAATCGCGTCTTTCGGAAACAAATAACTAATTTCTTACATTTCTTTGCTTTGGAATCTTTTTTTTGGCATTGTAAAATAGAATTTGAAATTTATTTCACTGATGGTATACTTTTTAATTATATAAATACGTCTTTTGAACCGTTTTGCAATATCTTAAGTCCAATGTTCTTTCCTGCTTCCTCAAGCTTTTTATCTCGTCATTGTGTATAGTTGAACTATGGCGAACCGTGCAAAGGTGATTTTGTGGAGCTAACTTCTTAATTGGATGCTTGATGCGCATAGGACAATGAGGTGTTGGCTGTTTTATACGATGAAAATGATGTGGGAAACATAATTTGCGATACTTTGATGTTTCGAGCTTTATTTTGTGGTGTTTCGGCGCATTTGAATTAAGATTATGTAGTTTTCGTGTGTTATTTAAGAACGATCATATACAAATATAGCCTCAATATCTTATCCGCCCTATATTTACAGTCACCATGCGCATACTCTGGTGCTTTTTAGGGATTTTTGCCCTCAGTGAACGGTATTTGATATCGATTGCCTTTAGTAAGCCCTTGAAAATCTATCCGTGATCGAAGTCTTCTGAGCTTTATCTATCTAGTGCTTTACTGCTGTATGGAAAGACGGTGGGTGTCCTCTTTGATGCTTTAATTGTATTGCTATCCTTTTTCAGACTGCTAAGCCTTATCTTAACGCAGTCCGTGCGACGCTGACTGCAGCACTCTGCATCGAAAACTTTCCCTCTCAGGTGGTAGAGCGCCACAATAAACCAGAAGTTGAAGTTCAGACTTCCAAGGAATTGCTGCTCAATCCTGTCGTCGTGAGTCGGAATGAGCGTGAACGCGTGCTTATCGAGGGTTCCGTGAATTCTGTGCGTGTGAGTATCGCAATCAAGCAGTCTGATGAGATTGACCGAATAATCTGTCACAAGTTTATGCGATTTATCATGATGCGGGCTGAAGAGTTTGTCATCCTACGGCGGAAGCCCATTCCGGTACAGTAACTTTTTGCCGTTCTTATGTACTCTTGATTTAAAATCGATTAGAAGTGTGCAGAATGTCGCTCTAATTTAGTAGATCATTGTAATTTTGGATGATTCTCCAAAAACCATTATATCTGGATCTAATTTTCAGTGTATTTCTGTATACCAATAAGCTATCTTATCGCCGGTCTGGAATTAAAAGCTAGGCAATTATTTTTTGTCGTTGTCAGTTCGTTCAACAATTGGTTTAATAGTCATGGGATTGATAAGTAAAGCAAATTTTTTGACCTCGATCTACTTGCTTACTCCAGCTTCTAGTGTAGCACTGGATGGCGCCTGTGTCGCTGAATGATTGTTTTGGTTGCGTTTTAATATCCTACTTGGTATTTATTTTACCCAACTGGATTTCTGTCGCCGAAAGCCGCATTTAAGTCACATTAGATTGTGATCATCAGTTTGTTTCGTTTGCACTAGACCCAGGTGTATGGCACGACCATATTTTTATACAAATATATGGCTGCTTAATTCTACACAGATTTTTATGAGTTATTCCAAGTGAAGAGTACAAGTTTTGATTTGCACTTTCTACTAGGCTGTTGGGTAGAAATCCAGACTGCACGCTTCTCAAATAGCTATTATAGTACATGTCTTGCGTATTTGCATTATGCCGGTCGAAAAAATAGCCCATGCCCCTTCTAATCGCTTAAGGAATAAATGTCACCGTGGATATTGGCTGATGAGCTCTCTGCTTCTGACATGAAAGATTGATTTCAAAAAGTTGCCAAGCATTCTGTTTTGTTCGTCGATGCAATCGTCACTCCTATTAATGCCTTCCGCCGTTTATTGTAGCAACTTTTGTACTTATCCCTCCCAGGGTTATGATATTACCTTCCTTATCACAAACTTCCACACGGAAAAGATGCTGAAAAACAAACTCGTTGATTTTATCATCACCTTTATGGAAGAAATCGACAAGGAGCTCTCGGAAATGAGACTAGCCGTGAACTCACGAGGCCGCCTTTGTGCAGAGGAATTTCTGAAAGCCTTTGATTAACTCGATGTTTGTGTTCTCTGGACCCTTACTATCTTTCTAATCCTTTTATGTGAGTGGTAAAAACAGTCTCGAAATCTCTCTTGTTTTGCATACTTTGACCAACCGCGTGTTTGTTCAATAAATTTATTGCGCCTTACATCCATACTGTCACCTTGACCTTTTCCTGTCAATATTCCTCTTCGTGAAGAATGCACTAAAACGATCGGTGGTTTGCGTCCCCCAAGAGATCACTCAGGAAACACATTTCCCATCTCAGATCTCTAAGTTGCTCCCCTGGTATTGTCTTATAGTGAACCACAAGTAATTTAATTATGTCATATTCCGTTTGTGCAAAATGTCGAAAGCAAAATAGTCATAAATAGTGGTCTCCCTGTAGCATACGTATATATGATAATCTCAAAAGATCAAATCAAAATCGAGTAGAACTCAAGCAGATGTGTGCGATGAAATATGTCATTGGGCAATTGGATGCATCAAATTCTGTGGCATTTGTGGAAGCAGTCGATGGATCAGTGATTACTCTCCAAAGGTTCCCTCAAATGCCAGATTTAGATATCCTCCTTAGTAAGGCACGGTTACCTTAATTCTTATAAAATAGTGGAATTCGTCAAGGGAAAGTACGTGTGGGTTCTCTATCAAAAGCCTTGGGGTGTTTGTGAAGAATTGATCCTAGCCGAACTTTGTTATTTGCGTCATTGTGGATTCTGAAATCAGTAGCTGTGATACTGATCAGACCCCTGTGAATTTTAAGCCATGTTTTTTTTAAAGACAAAATTGTAATTCCGCCTTTTCTGTGATAAGAGCTGTGTCTTTGTCTTTCAATAAATATCAACTGCATTGCATTAACTCTTATTGTAATTTGAGCCGCATTCCCATTTCCAGCAGAAGGATTTATGCATAGTTTGCTCACGCAGGAAATTGTATTAAACAAATCGATCACATCTCCACACAGTAAAATCTTCTGACACTCAGCTTGTAACAGTCACTTGTAATTATTTCAGACACACCATTTACATTTTCTTCTAGTCACTATGTGGCGACGGATCAGGGCCATTTTTAATACTTTTCAGTGAAAAACATAAGTTGCAATATAAAAGACCGGCCACACATGTCTACAGGATGTGATATATTGCCTTACAATTAGTATTTTTTATAAATTGGTGCCTCAGAGATCTCATGTTTTTATTATATTATACTGCTACAGTAAACTTTTTAGTCCGTACCTATGAGCATGTTGATTCATTTTTAGCTTCTCGGTTACAAGTGCTTCAATTAAGCAGGATAAATATTTAAATAATGAAGAAAAGAGGGTACTAGCCTGAGCCAATGATTTAAAATGCCTCAGATTAGGTGCAAATTTTTAGCTATTTATCCCGCCCAACAGTGAGAAATCTTGTCGTAAATTCTAATTGTAATTAAAATACATCACCGATCGTCCTAGTCAAATACACAGACCATGTCAGAGATGTAAAAAACTAAGTATTAGGTTATTAAATAAATTAACACAAAAGGACTAACCGTCCAATTGTGAAAAAATCTACTTACCACATTTCCATGTACGGGTTTATGTTAAAGAAAATTTATTTGCAATTAAAAGAGATTAAATTGTAGAAAATCAATGTTTCTTAAATCGCCTTGACTCATGATCGTTAATGCAGCCACACCACTCTCCGACACAACGTCCCCATATACGCAACATTTAGTAATCCCCAACTCCCCCGTCATTAGCACGAACGATTATCCTGGATTTTCCGCACACCTAGGTCGCGATGGTAACACGTTTATGACTCATAGTGGCTGAACTCAGAAGTACACTGTTGTATCCCATCTGCGGATAGGCCAGAATCAAAATCAGTGTCCCCGCCGTGGTTTAACACGACATGCCGGGGTCCACAATAATTCATAATAACGCACGGTTCTTTTAGGTATTTTCGTGTTTAACGCAAATGACACTCGATAAAACCCAAATGCCTACGATTGTAGGCAATGCACTTAAATAGTCTAGTGCTACAATAGGCTGGAACAAGCTTAATTTGTAAATGTGCATGCACTTGCAAAATCGTTTACTGTATACAAAACTTTAAGTCATTTAAAAGAAACTGGTAAAAAGTAAAAACACAAAAGTCTTCTAAAGGTTGGGCTCGGTTTTGAGATCAAAAGGAACTGATTTTGTATATATTGTGCTCTAGATGCAACAAGATTGAATGATAAATAAAATTATCCAAATTACTTCGGCAAAATGAAGTCATACCACTGGGGCGTATCTTGAATTGTGAAACATGTCGTCCGTTTAGAGTGATTTTTTTAAAATTCATTGAGGGATTATATGCATAGCTCAATATAAATTGACCTAATAAGGTTGCCTTCTACTTACTAATTAATAATGATTGCCAACACTCCATTAATTGCATTATTCGTATCTTCGATTTAAATGATGTCCATTTAACATATTGCACATCCAGAAATGTCGATTACTCTAGACCATAAACCTGTTTAGTGCAACTTCTAAAATAAACCTTTTACTTATTATGTTTTGTGATTTTTAATTTCTAGAATAGCATTTTGTTTGTACAAAACAAATCTTTCTCAATAAGTGGCAGAGCCTTTTTTAAATTGCTTGTTTTCACGATATTATGTAAATCATGTCAAGGATATTATGAGGGGTTATGGATTCCCTTTTTTGTGTGATCCTCTTTAACTGGAACTTTTTTATGTCCAAACGCTTCTGAATACAAAATTGAAACGCTCTGATATTTAAGTTTTTAACATGCAGCAGACTCGAAGGGTTTCCAATTTTCCAATTTGGCTACCAGTTATTCGCGCAAGTGCAATGGGTTGGTTGCCTCTATCAAGGAATCCTTTACCAAAGTTTCCACGTGATGAGTCCTTTGATTTATCTTCTTCTGCAGCCTACAGCAATGCAAAGTTGCATATTAACGTCTCAGGAGTAAAGTTTGAAATTTTTCGCTACTTTGTTGACCAATACCCTAATACCTTACTTGGGTCAACTGAACGTGAATATTTTTATGATGATGATACGAACGAGTATTACTTTGATCGTGATCCAGCAATTTTTCGATATATTATTGACTTCTATCGACACGGATTTTTGCACTTTCCACGTGCTGATTGTTTTCTTGCCTACGAGAAGGAAATGCAATTTTTCCGGATTTCGACTGAATGCATGGGAGATTGCTGTTACGAGTACTTTCAGGATTGTCGTCGTGAGCACTCTGAACGCCTTAGAGAGGGAAAAGCCTTAGATAAATCGAGATGCATTGCACCATCAACGTGCAGGCAAAAATTATGGGCATCATTTGAAAATCCCGACAATTCAACTACATCCCTTGTTATTTACTATGTAACAGGATTTTTTATTGCTGTTTCGGTTTTGGCTAATATTGTTGAGACCATCCCCTATCCCGATTTTACACCTGATGGCACCAGACCATCAATTGGGGAAGTCTATTCTGATGCATTTTACTGCCTGGACACTGCTTGTGTTCTGATGTTTACTGTTGAATACCTGGCCCGTCTTTACTCAGCACCAAGACGATGGATATTCTTTCGGTCTGTGATGAGTCTTATTGATGTCGTAGCGATTCTACCCTTTTATATAGCATTGATGCTTCCAAGTAAGAAGGTAAATGTTGTTAATCATACTTGTTTCATCACATTAGTTTTGATTCTAACATCTTGGATAAACAAATATTTTAAATTGTATACAGAATGGCATCTACATTATGCCTGGATAAATTTTGGCAATTTGAACTTCGACTGTTTTTTTTTCTGAAATTTACTTGACGCTTTTGTCTCGATTCAGAAATGGCTTTCTTTTTTTTTCGCTAAGCACTTTTCCAGTAGTCTTAACATTTTTTTATCATCTTAATCACGTTCATTTGTAAATTGTGTATTTCATGTTAATTTTTTTATTGGAAAAATCATGCTTGATAATTTTCCAACTCTAAAATAATCTAATTGTACTGTAATTGACTCTGAACAGGGTGTTAGTGTACTCTACTACATGTAAGGCGTGTATCTACATCATTCATGACATATACGTTTGTTTATTAAAGTTCAGAATAATGATTTTACTGTTTCATAGCGTGACGGTTTATTATATTAAGGTCTATAAATTGATTACCAGGGGTCCTGTGGTTAAATTCTCTCCTCAAATGAAGGCTGTATTAAGTAAGTAGTATAGGCAAATAGAGTTTTACATGGATGCATATTAATTGTTTATGAATTATGCAAAACATCTGATTCACTCAACTATTTCAATGTTGATTGATAAATTGTTGTAAATTACAACAAAAAAGCGACACGTAATAAATAATCTTTGTTCTTCCAGACATTCAGCAAAATCACATAATAAGACATGAAGTTAAGACTTCAAAGTCCTTTTCCAAAAAATAAGTTCTTTTGCATATGCAAAACCACAATTTTGGTTTAGAACATATAAGCAGTGATGAATAATGACCACGTGTATAAAATTGTAAACACCTACTAAAGTAAAATCTACGGAAATAATTTAGAGCATCATGTTTTATAATGTTAAGATTTAGGTTAAAATTTATGATAATCTTTCATCTAATGGTGATGACTAACTCAACATCTGGCCGCATTATTCTATTTTACTGAATTTGGCATTAATAAAGAAGCTTTCTACACATTTCTGCTTTAATCCAAAATAAATGATTCCTTAACTTTGGGGCTTGGATTTTTTTTTTACTGATGGATAATTGGGTCTATTTGAACTGCGATGGAGCTGAATTTGATCTTTTGGCTCTACATGGGATTCACCCAGACAACAGACGTAAAGCAAAACCCCTGCGTAAAATTTCTCACAATAAACAATGAACCTGCGAAGCAAATTGAAAGGGCTAAACGAAGTTAGGCTAGGCTGGAAGTTGTGCTTGAGATAGCTTCGTTCAGTGACTGCTTGGATCAGCGTAATCCTTTGAAACCCTTTGAGTTAGTAGTTCTAAATTTCTTTTAAAATGAATGTGTTCTTTACCATCCTAATTATTTTAAAATTAAGTAAAATACATCACATTCTTGTATTTTTTTCATTTTTACGTTTCACTGAATGCAATAACGACCAAACAGGCGTTTCACTAGGCCAAAATCAGTTAGCTCAAATGAATAGTTCAGCATGTGGGCATGACTTACGACAGAGGTCGGACCAACTTCCCCTAAGTAGTCATGGTAAATTAATAAAAATTTATATCACTTCATGGATGGGTAGGAAAATTTAGTTACTAGAAGATAAATCAGCGCCTTGATTCTGATCTAAACTATATACACAAATATTTATATTTGGTGTAAAGGCAGATCTTTGCAGACGATGACCACCAAAAAAATCTGTCACCAATGTAAGCACTGTGTTTTGAGTTCGTAATGGCCTCTGGACAGAATTGCAGCATTTTTTATTTATTCCGAGACAGGTGATTTTCCTCCACGTTGTTATTTTTGGTTAAAATTAGAAAAAAAACATTGACTGCACACTGTTTGTTCTGCATTTTCCGGAATGTCAGAAAGAGATTCCCGTGGTTAGCTGATCTCTCACAGGACATATTGGGTCCAGGATCATGTATGCTACTAATTAGGCCTAGGTGGGTTTGTGGGAAGGAAGGTTTGATTAATAAAGGGCTTTTAAAACTAAAAATTGGGTTTTCCACCTCTGTTTAAAATGAAAAAAATTATTATGTTGACGACAAACACCAAAATATTTACAATTTTTACCAAATACTATTCAATTTTATTACAAAATGTCAGGAGGTTTATTTAAATTATGGGTGAGACGGCAAATAGTCTGGATAGCACACACTAAACTGTAAAAAATTGTTTTGCTAACGAAGTTAGTAGTTTTGTCGCCAATTCCCATGTGAGAAATCAGTGTCTCGATTTATTATCAATTAAATTTGTAGAAATCCCATATTGATACTTGCAATGTGGCTCATGAAAAAAGAGTCTGAGGGTAGAGCACAGAGGTGATCATCGTCCTCATTAATTATTAAAAACCTGGGGTCATATATACAAGCAGTGGATTATCTACAAAGCCACTCTGTGCCCTACAAGTCAAAAAAACTGTAGTGCCTCAAAAATAATAAACCGATTAGTGAAGATTAATTTTTTTGGCCCACAAAATTCTAGTCAAAATTTGATTTTAGTAAATTTGTTGCTGAATGTTTATGCTTACGATGATAAGAACACGAAAAATTAAATCGAGCACAACAGCAAAAAATCATCCCGTAGTTTGTCAATGTATGAACATCTCTGTTCATTGCATAAAGTACTATTTTTGTGGTCTAGGAGAACTTATTTCATGTTTTATTGCAAGCATAAGTGAGTGTATTTTCATGCCGATTGGCTAGGAGTTCGTACGTGTACTTATTATCCAAAATGCCTTATCGTTTTGGCAAGTCTCACTCAGTTTTTTTTGGGGAACAGCCGGAATGCAGATCTTGGAGTCTATTCTTTCCACATTATAGTATACGTGGGTCAGAAATATTTGCAAAAAATATCAACTATTTGCTCATGCCCATAAAACACCCGGTAACTTGCTGATCCACTCGAAGCCAGGAATATGTCGCCATCAGAAATAGAGTGGATGTCAAATCACGCAACTAAAATTTCTCATTTAGGACATCCATTTATTTTTTAATGAAGTCTCTAGTGAGAAACCTGCCTACGATATCTACTACAATCAGGGCCACGCAAGAAACCGTTACTTGAACATCAATGATTTTATTGTTTACTAATAATGCCACTATACAGTGGTGTAAAGATGCCCTATTCTGTGTTATGTACTTGCTTAAACACAATAAAGTGTCAAATTACCATTGTATTAATGGTATTTATAATGTTTACACTAAATAAATGGGGTCTTGGCCCTTAATGTCTCCGCAAGACAACTCAACGGTCTTGTTAAACTTCACTGAGTGATTTAGCCATTTAAAGTATTCGCTTTTAACTTAAGGAAAACGCATGCTTGTTTGCAAAGCAGTGTCGTTAGGCCATCCAGCGTGAATGATACATTTTGAAGACCTTATCAGAGTTGCAATCAGAACAGCTGCCAAGCAAACTTGAACCCTAGAAATCTGTGCACATGCAATTAACCACCTTCAAAACAGAAGCCAAACAGCGTGCAAAGACCAACCAGGACATGCATGACTTGTCTGAATTGCGTCCGTATAGCAATTTGATTTTCCAGTTCATAAATCTGCCCAAGTAAACCTTGGTTGCCTATTCAATCACCAAACTTACAGCATTGACATTCAGTACTTTAGAAAAACCTTATGGTCGTGAATCCTATGAAAGGACTTTGCTCATCTTATGCCTTTTGCAGTAAGGATTTTGTTAGACTCAACACTATCACTTAGCTTACTTACAAATATGCAGTGTCTGATTTTGAATCTTCCGGAACCCTGTGGGTCTGTGAAGTAAGCTTTTAGATTCGCATGTTTTACGCTTAATTAAATTTCTTCATAATTTATGAAGCGTCTAGATGTCAGCATGTAATGATGAAATACTATCACTAAATTGACAGACACGCATAACTGGAATAAAATATAACAAACAACTGACATTATTTTAGTTCATGTACAGAAAGTAAACTTATCAGTTGCCAAACTGCTACATTCATGCTGCTGTCAATTTTTCAATAGGTATATTTAATTTATATAGAGCATTGCCAAAAGTCATGAGATTAGGCTGCGTTTAAGTAACTGTGGTACTTTAAACGCTTATTGGCTGCCCATGCCTTGTCATTACTAACATCTTTATAGTTCTGGCAAAAAATATCTGACCTGACTTTTGATTAATTACTAAAGTAAATCTCAATTTAAGAACGAAGATGAAACATTCTTAATAAAGGAAAGTTTTTAGTGACGTTCAGACTGTTTGTCAAAAAACTACTTAATTTCCATTTTGCTATGCTTCTTATCTCTTTACTCTTGGTAATTTTGTTTGATATCGTTCCTAGCATAAACATTATCTGTCGACTGGCGCCATGGCCTCAGTTCCACCTGTCTGTGTCTTGCCACTGGTTATTAAGATTTAAATTTCAGATACAAAATATTACGTTTTCTGCAAAAGTTATGTCCAATTTTTCGTCATAAAATTTTAAATACAGTTAATTAATCTTGCTAAGTATGATACACTTGGCTATCACATGAACAAGTCTATAAATATTTTAGAGAGGAAGATTTCCTTACAATACTTTTCATAATCATGGGATTCCTTGTTTTCAATAAACATTTTATGAAATTGCATTACGTTTGCATCAAACTTATGTCAAATCGTATTATAAAGAGATGTCTCACAAAAGTTATAAACCGACTGTATTTACTGACTGTTGAATTTGATACTTCAAAAAGAGATGGTCAGTGTTAAGTCTAATAAACCTTCTCAGAATTTTAATCTGCAAAATTGGCAATCATTTTTTTAGAGCCTGATAAGCCAAGAAAACCATTTTACATATTACTGTATATCGAAATTACTGATATTTGTGTTTTGTCGTTTCACCACAAGTATAGTGGTAAAATCATGCATTTCTAGGATATAACTCTTTTGTACATGAATTTGAAAGCTAAAAATCAAATTTAAATTGAGATAAAATAATGTTTACCATTTATTATAGCGCTTATTGAGAAAATTCAAGACAAATAAGTAACCTGATCATTTACGAAAAATCACTAAGTTTGGAATTTCGCGCACAAAGAAGTGTGATCACATTTGCCATATTAAGGCTGTTTGTTGTGCACATCATATTTGCTCACATATTTTTATGAAGTAAAAACGAAGCTTTAAAATGGTGTGTTTACTAATTAGCCTATAATACATTAAGCTAAAATCACATTACCTACTTATCACCTGTGCAGACCTGGGATACAAAACCGATTTTAGACACAAGCCAAAAGCTAATTTGTCAATCATCCACTATTTTCACATCAATTCCATGCCTGTTCCTCTGCATTTGCAGTTAGATAAATAAGTCTGACTTTTGCTTCTTCATATGTCCATTTAAGGACTTGAAAAACATAGATCCTAGTAACGTAACACCTGAAAGTAAATTTACTTGAGCCAAAGGCAGTCATTTTCCGGTATTATAAATAAATTATAAAACATTTTAGAAAATATGCAAAGCGAGTTACGCGTTATTTACTTGGAGCTAACATCTTAGCATAATTCCTATGTAAGTTTTTTTTAATTTTCCCACACATTAATGACGTTAATTTTATATAAACACCTGCGAAAACGAAATGCGGAATCAAAATCACAAATCAGGCATAAGACGTAACGCAAATTTTTTTTGGAGTAAAACCACATGTTGAGCTTTGATTTCAAATCAGACCTTTAAAATTTTTCTGTATTTCCTCAGTGAACAGCATCATGTATTGAAGAAGTATACATTCTTCATTTTAAACTAATAATTTAACATCATGACCCGAAAGAGCGATCGTAATGCCGAAAATGTCGATTTTATTTCAAAACCCATTCAGTTGGTACTTCTTTGCATTCGTTACTGTAGACAGTATCGGGACCATTTACAACACTCCGAGTATTTCGTGTGTTCCGAGTCTTCAAATTCTCGCGTCATTCCCAGGGTCTACGAATCCTCGGCAACACACTCAAGTCTTGTGCCTCTGAGCTTGGATTTCTTCTTTTTTCCCTTACCATGGCTCTTATTATCTTCGCTACTGTCATTTACTATGCTGAAAGAGGGGTCCCCAATAATACTTTCATTAGTATACCCGCTGCTTTCTGGTATACGATAGTCACAATGACTACGTTGGGGTAAGTTTCCCTACTTTGTTATCACTTATGCATCCTAAAATGGATTTATGTCAACATTTGTTGCAAGATGATAATATGCTGAGAGATTCGGAAGATTTTGGGCCTTACGCCAGAACTCTTCAAGCGGTGCGCCTGATGCTGCGCTTTCCGCTAATGGTAAATGGTCAGTAGGGAGAAAATGCGCCTGACAGGTCAACAGTCCGGGCCATAAAAACACATTAATAACACATTTTTTGCCGAACACAGATAAATAACGTCAAGAGTATCGCCGTATTTTCGCTTTTGGTTGCCATATGCGTACATCTGTCACACTGCGCTTAGCAAATGATCTCGGTATACTTATCTGGATAATAAAATGCCACTGAAATATAGATATGCGCTTTTGGCCTTAAAAATAGACTTTAATCGACATTTCTTCCGTTTTTTGAGATTTGAAAGTTTTCGGGGTTACAAAAGCCTCACAAGCGTACTTTTTGTTCTACTACAAATAGAAAACAACCGATCCCTTTAGGTTCCGAGTAGCTATTACGTTTTTAATAGTTACAACTGTAGTCAGAGTTTTTTTCGAAATGCAACCTTCCAACTTAAACACTGCCGCTTCTGAAGGCGCACCCATTGACTTGAAGAAGTATGCGTTTAATTAAGTGAAATGCATTGTTAAAAATAAGGACAATGTCTGCCTTTACGACAAAGTATCTAATGGATTATTCCTCTCAATTTTGTTATAAAATCGTGCATTTCTTTAGAGAAATTCACGTTTTCGAGACAAAGTTTAAAGTTAATGTGTTTACAACCAAGTCGAAGCATTAAAAATGTTACTTAGAAGGAGCTTTTCTGTTTCCACCACGTACCCTGTCTTCGTCACACGATAACATCCCGTATTTGAAATTATAAGGTATCCATTGCTGAAAATCTGTTTGTTTTACGATATCAACCACAGTAATTATTGTAGGCTTTTAGTGGGTTCAGATGAAAATTACTGTGGATTTAATGAATGATTCTCTATTTGGAAGAAAACGTTGCCATGGCTGATAATTTGAAGCTATTTAATGAATAATACTTTATTTGTTGTAAGTTACTGCTAATTTTCATTAACGTCTGAAACAAATATCTGTAGGTTTTAATTCAATTATTTGATCGTGAAGGGATTAGATGCCAGTCTGTTAAAACAAAGGCAATGTGGTTGTGTGAACCGCAAAGGTCTATTTCTCAACCCATTAAGCATTGTACGATTTAAAAATGAGAAACCCGAATGAGGTCTCTACTTTAAGTTTTGAAAGAATATTTTGACTTATTAGAACGTCACCGACTTTTAATTTTCAGAACCGGGCAAATGTACTTGCAAAGTATTTGAATGTGCGTGTTTCGTGGTCTGATAAAGTGCCCGGTGGAAAGCGTGCATTTGGATATCTTGGTAAAGTGGCTACAAAAATAGACCCAAAACCAATAACTAACACGCATAAATGATTGTGTTTGGTAAAATAACTCCAGCAATCTAGTTAAACAAGAATAGCCACATTTTTCCAAAATTTCTCATAAAATACTTAGACCTCGACAAATTAAATTCAGTGTCTCTTGGATAATATCATTTCTTTGGGGTGTCCCGGATTTCGCACTCAAGGACTTTTCTTGATCCATTTTGTTCATGGGGAATTTTGGTTACTTGTCGCAAAACATGACTCGCAACTATACATTTACAAATTTTATCATACAGATCAGGTTTCAAACTTGCAAACCTTTCGTACGTCAAGAGGCAAACACCATTTTGTTTATCAAAGGAAATTCCCTTGACAAAACCACGCATATTTTGGAGGTTCTTTCATGCGCCCGCTCATGTGTGCTTTAATCTGTCCATAGGCGTGAGAAAGAGCAATTAAAGCATGGGGTTGTGTGTCTTTTCTACGGAGTTATTAAGATATGCCAGCCTGGTTATTTTCCTAGTAAACCCAAGCGCAGTTTATAAAAAAACGACCAAAACACACCAGTAACCGAAGATTAGACAATGTCCATTTAACTTGACATTTTGTTAAACCTCTTTATTTTAGATACGGAGACATGGTACCGAAAACTATTCTTGGTCAGCTGATTGGTGGCACGTGTGCGCTTTCAGGAGTTCTTGTAATTGCACTTCCAGTCCCATTTATCGTGTCCAACTTCTCTCGGATTTACCATCAAGGTCAGCGGGCGGATAAACGAAGGGCTCAAATGGTAAGACGATTCACTTTATAATCGTTCTGCTACGGCATTTTACTAACCTCGTTTCTATATGACTTGGTCATTTTCCCTGATGCAAGATGCAAAAATTAGCGTTTAAGTCATTCGGATTTCCTTTATGTAGTGACTGAAAAAAATCCACTGACTTAACAAACTGCAGTTGTAACAAACTCCAGTTGCTTCTCTTGGGTGTTTGGAGAATTTTTGTAATGATTCAAACTAGCCACGTTGTTAACTTTGGTCGCGATTCTGTCCATGGGGTTATTCCATTTGGGTCATTTCAAGGACATCTAAAACAGCAAAAACCTGAATGCGTCAAAAACGTCCAAACATCTCCAAACACGTAGAAACGTGTATTTTGTCAATACGCGACACTTTTAAATGATTTCTAGCATTTGTACAAGAATTTTCCTATAAATTTAAATGCATTTTTGGCTTAAGTTAAAAGTAATGTCAGTTTTTGTTTTCATTTGATAAAACAAATTGATTATTTTTACATGGGATGCTACATCCCATACTTTTCAACTAATTTTTAACAAAAGTCGTGTGCCTGTAAGAAAATAGTTTCTTAACCTAGGCGCTCTGAATTTTGGATCAAATTTTCGTGGAAGAACATTACTTTAGAACCAATCTGTTACTTGTCTCAACTGTTCGGAATAAAGCACAACTGCCTTGAACAGGACTGAATGCACTACACCAAAATTCCTTAACCCAAGCGGTTGATTACTATTTATGTTTTTTAAAGTTCGACGCTTGCACTGATTTCATCTGCATTTTGCCAGCCGAAACAGCATTGTTTTTCCTTGCCTATTGGTGGGCTTATCACTTTATCTTGTACACTTTTTGGTCTCAATCACATTTAAAGTAAAAAATAAATATTGGCTCAGCAAATTGCAGGAACATGCCGCAGAGGTAATTATTCGCAACTTTGCTTTTTGCATGTGCAAACTTTAATAGAAATGCGGGAGAACTAAGTCGGAGAACTTATTCCACAGATTTATTATATATTTAAAGAAATTCTATTGCCACGTAGTACTTATTCTCAGTTTTCTAATAACTCTATTATTAAGAAGGTTGCATATATCAATGGTCCTAACGCGTCAGCATTTGGCTTGAGACTGTGTCTAGCATTTTCTTATTTGTTTAAAGATCCTTCGTAACTTCAGAAGGAATATTGTGGGCAGCACAAGTGAAGCCATTTATTGGCCACTTTAACATGACACCTGATAAGTATTTTAAATGGACATTTGGCTATATACCAAGAAAATCTTGACATATGCCACTAATATAAGGGAACCGTGCCATTAAATAGGCAACAATGATACTGAATGTGTACCGATGTAAAGTTCTTTTGCAAATGTTTCTTCGTAGAACGCTCGCAAAGCCCGCATGAGAAATGAGACTTTGGCTGACCCCTCTGCCGGCAACGGACCCCTTGACGTTTTGGATGCCGACTCCGAAGGCACAGGCGACCTCGACCATACTGCACTCACCATAGCACCGCATCGCAACATAAATCGTTCGGTGTTCCCTGTTGCCACCGATGCTGGATGGCATCAGCCACAGGCCCCCTTCGTTTCCACTGGAGAAACCAACAAAGGAAAGCCCTCCTTGGGGAGCGTCCGTTTTCTCCCTTACACAACACCACAACAAAGTAGACTAATGCCATCCTGGGCTGTTCCTGCAGAGCATTCTAAATTCCTTCTAGAACAACCTTTCAAAAACGAAAGTCTGCCAAACCGCAGAGCCTCGGGGCACATCGACAATTCAAGTTCTCAACCTGCCTCTTGTGGTATACATATTTGTGTTGACAATGGAAGCATACATTCCGATCCCGTGGAAAACGCAGAGGTTCGTTTGTATTTTATTACAAAGCAAATTTAACGAATCGTGGTGAGTTACAAAGTCATTGTTCTTAAATTATGTAAACTGCCGCTTTGGTTAAATTATACTGTTGTGCTTGAATGCGAATTAGTAAGGTTTGGACAATGCTAGTGCCTCACAAAAGGCTTTATTATATTTTTCATTTTGTTGAGAGGCGCTGTCGATGGGTATGAATTTTACCCTTTGAAAAAGTAACAGTAAATTTCATACAGTTTGACTCGAATTCTGCTAGGAACACACCTGATTAGGATCAACTGCTTCCGGTGTTTTAGACAAAACTGAATTTAGAATATGGAATGTTATATGTCAGCTTTCGGTGTTAATAAAAATGCAGAAGCTTTGACTAAAATGAATAAAGCGTATTTTTATGATTCTAAAATGACACAATTATGCACACAAATTCCCTTAAAATGTGATTCCTGATTACCCTAACGCCAAATTTACCTTGATTCTAGTCGGTCATTGATTGCTTAGAATGTAAAATTAAACAGTTATACCTTGTTTAAAAGGTCATTGGTACAAGTTGCGAGAACGATTGTGATTAAACTCCCACCCAAACTTAATAAAGATGTCTTTTAATTAAAAACCACCAATGTCCGGAATTTAGTTGCATTAGAAAATGCGTACATGCGATCATCTGGTGTAGGGCAATTCGAGGCCAGCTTCCACCGCTAATCCACCAGGCCCAAATTTGACTGCTTCAAAATTGCAATTCAAGTCGCTATCCTCGTTCTTTAGTGACCATGTAAAAATGCGAACATGACAATGCATTGTCTCACCCATTTATGATCGCCCTCGTGTTATTTAAGTGGGAGGGAAAATTCAAATCTTACATTTGTTTTTGAGTCCAACTTAAGTAAGTTTTGATGACAAACAGCTAAAATGTGATCTCATCCTAAATGTCCCGAAACGAGGTAAGCCCCTAGCATCCCTTTCCGGACATCCTTTATATTTGCAAATTCAGGTTGATGAGGAACTGACTCTCAACCCAATACGACGATGAAGTTTTAAATGCTAAAAGAACACTAAATTATATGCATAATTTTTTCAAATTAATTAACTCAACAAAAATTTGATTGTCTAAAGAATGCATTCAATAAGTAATGGGTTAGCAGAAGTTCCGTTTTTCACGGCAGCATTCATCATTTTTGGCATCACAAACTCGAAACGCTGGTGGTACATTAGTGCGTGATAGCTCAGGGTTTGCACCTACTTACACGAACGCTGCCGATAATCATCGGGCATTTGCATTAACATAGCCGCCTCAGTGAATTTTTATTTTGCACTGCTATTCCTTCAATGCACGAGCCAAATCCTCATCACTATTTACGGCACCGCACGCGCACACAACCAATTGCCCGCCGAAGTCGAAGTTGTTTCTTCCACGCACAGCCAAACATACGTGCGCTGGCATTTTGCGCTTTGGTAATTAAAGTAGTATCTGTGATAGTAAATCACAGCATTCATCACAAGTTACACTTCTATCGACTGAAAACATCCTGTGCCTTTTTGTTATCAAAAGGAAATACCATGCATACTACACAAATGGTATCACGTCGTTAGTTCAGGCAGTGTGATATATCGTACCGTTGGTAAAATGACACTGTAGTTTAAGCGAGTAATTATGCGTTTTGCAGTCAAAATCCATTTCGGCTTTAAGTGAAGCCTTGGACAATCAGCAGCTGCATTGTCTTAGTACTGTGAATTTGGCGAATCGGCAGACAGATCATTACAACAATGGACTTTTGCAGTAACATGTAAACGGAGATCTATTTTCCCTTATTGTTGGTCCTAATTTATGATATTCCCCCGGAACTCACACATTCCTCTGATTTGCTACTGACGAGTTTCAGTGTATTTACAATTTTACAAAATCTCACTTGAGAGAAAACTATTTGCCAAGTGGGTGTGTTCAAAGGGACAGACCGCAAATTTAGCGCAAAGAAGAATTTTTGTTTGAAGTAAGTAATCATTCGGAAACTAGTGAAAAAAAATGAAAACAAAATAAATTGTTGTAATTTTTATGACGGAGTTTGAAGCAGTATATAGATATTTGTAAAAAAATCCTACATTTTACTTAAACGCTCTTTATTAGTTTTAGGCATAGTCCATTTAAATGTTACTATAAAATACTGTTCTGATACCGCTCATGTTTAAAAATTTACCTTTTCTGAACCTAACACCAATATGACATCGTCAGTCTCTGTTTCCACCATTCTCTTTTAATACAATTTACGACCTGTGTCGCATACTGTACAGTGATAGAATATCTAAGATCGGGTTGAAAATTCGATGATGAATTAACAGTGCGGAGTCTGTGGTCGTTTAGCAACTACGAGAATAAACTGTCAATTTTGTCCCGCTCTCAGTTCAAGCCTAGTGGGATTTTTTAAAAACGCCTTTAATTTAGTGCTTAATTTGAAAGAAGCCAATTTGCCAGTGTTATCGGTCACTTTACAAAAGACATGGAATCGTTTTTGTCAGTTTGCACAAATGAAGACAGAAGCTGCAAGTTGAAGGGATACTAGTGCCATTAAGGAGGTTTGCATTATGAACATAGTTTGTAAAAGAAGCCTGACAAATTTATAGCAATAGCAAAGGTGTTATTTGTCCTGAAATTCGTCCCAAAGCGACAGTCAAGAAAAGCAGAGTACGATTTCGTTTCATTTGAGTTCTAGGCCACGTGATGTGACAGATAACGTCGTACTGTGTAATTTGACTTTCATGCCTACGTCTGCTTTGGTATTTCCAGCCTGATTGTGTCAAAAATTTCACCTCCGTTCAGAATTTCAAAATAAAATCATCGTGAGAACAAGTTCAAACCTGCGCAGTTTTTTCGGTAACGATTTGTGCTAGTTCATGTGGTTTCTTATTTTTTTCAAAATAGCTGGTTGTAGGCCAACTAAAATGATGTCAGTCAAAAGCATGCAAAAAAATCTACAAATGATATATTTTATTGTTAAATCAGTAGTTTCGGTTACTTAAAATCTGTAAAAATCCAAAAGATTCACATGATGGAACCTGAAAAACAAATTCCACATCCTACCTCTGCCTGTGCCAACTGGACACCTTCTGACAGAGTATTTGACATTTACTCCAATGCGGAAATTTGCTATCCCTTCTACCTGGGT